ACAAGCAATACCAAAAACTGCTCTATGGAAGAGACTCGTAATTGTCTTGTTCATCACTGGTTCGTTCGCGTCTGGGCCAGCACACGCTGTTAAGGGAGAAGCGCGCCTAAAAGTATTCCATCTGCTGTGGATTATGTTTAGTTAAATTGAATATTGTTCTGTATACGAGTATTATTGTACACGTTTACTTTATTATTCTTTTAGAAATATGTGGTCCCATCAATGATAAGTATACTTTCAGCCAGACAAGAACTCTATGCAACATCAACTAGACTTAATTACAAAACTCAATTCCAAACTTCTATATCGTCGCCAATATCACCTTATTTCCTAAACTCGAGCAAACAAACACTTTCAATTTCATCTCCGAGTTCTTTGAATTTGACTCCTGTTTCAACAACTCTCACTTCGATCACGTCTGCTCCACACTTACGCTGCCTCTCTCGACGGAATAGACGGCTTCGTTAACAGCATTTGCAAAGTATGTATCCCTAAGTGCATACTCGTATGCTCCATATGGTGATAGAGAGAAAGAGACACTAGTTTTAAAGGCAAAAGATGAGATTAGAAGTTTAAAAAGAATGTTGATCAACACAAGAAACTTCCCCAGAGTGCCTCTTGTGCGCGGAGGAGGATGATCGTGGAGATGTAAACGAGAAGAGCAAAGAGGAGGCAAGTGAAAGTTAAAAGCAAAGATGTTATCATTCATAGATGCTCAGTCAAAATGTAAGCTTTGAATTGTAATCTCTTTTTGTGTGGGTGTGGGTGTGGGTGGTGGGTGCGCTAATACTAAATATTGCATGTTAGAGACTTACTTTTTTGCTATCATTGCTTGCAACATTCAAAATTTTGTTGCAATATATTTGGGCATCTTATAATATTTCTCGTTCACGCGTTTTAGTTTTGGAGCATTCTGAATTCCAAGTTTTGTATTATTCAAAGTCTTGTGTCCATGCTGTACAAATCATAGAAATCTTAGCAACAAAATGGGGCAAACAAGTGACTAAACGTGGTGCTCTTAACCTCTGAGAATGCAGACAATTTGCGATTGAATGAAATAATAAGCTTTTATTAACGCAACACTTGACAGAGTCAAAATGGAATGCTTGATAATTTACTCATAATTGCAATAGGCGCAATTAGAGACACAAATGCATCAGACGCCCTTGAGCATGATAAAAAAACGGAAAATGGGTTTATACAATTTATTAAGTTATCTTCTCTAGACGCCGATTGCATCATCTATGCATAACGTCTCTAGCTTTTTTAATTTAATAGAATGTGTGTGGCAACGTTAGTGATGTACTGTAAGCTCAAACCGATTTTGTATGGGGAATTGTCCGCGGAGACGTTTGTGTATTAACCAACATGGGTTTAGTTTATTGGCTGAATGACTTGTAATAATGCCTATACTGTCATTAAGCACATTACTCGAATTGAACATAACTTCTTTTTTTTATGAGATAAACGCAGAATTTATTGTAGCTTAACTATTGCAAACAATAATTAAACTTTGTAATTTTAGCGTCATATTTTACCAGCCAAAAATAAATAAAACACGAACAAACTTATGCAAACTAAGATGTCAAAATGTCAGCAAACGACAGTTACTCTCTTTATCACATTATAGGAATGAATGTGTCGGAGCTAGCAAGGCCACGAGCTACCACGTTGAAGCATAGAGGATTTAGAGAATTCTATTCCAGAGTCCGTTTTAATAATTTCGTAAATTAGTTTCGACGTCGTTTTTTTTGAGCTACTGTGCGTATAGTTATATTTTTGTAGTAGTTATATCTCATTTAGCATGACAAGAATAATGAAGAGAAAGTATTCCTATAACTAAATAAGGAATGTGCAATGTAACACGCGTTGAGAACGAGATTTGTTCACACTCGGAAAAAAAAATTTTTTCAAACTATTACTATGTCGTTAGTATTAGCATCAGGGACTGTTAATAATCCAGCAATTGATAACTTAGTTCAATCCTCCTTGGAAAGTGAAAATAATTACTTAAAACTTGAATGGATTCCTCACTCGCAAATTACCGGCATAGAGTCAAGCCAAATTGACAACGTTTACTATGCTATTCGCAAGCGTGCTTATGAAGAAAAGATAACGCTTGCACTACTTGGAAATGACGAGACATGTACACCAACACTTGTGAGTGAGTTTGCTAGAATATACTCACTTCCAACACACAAGTACAATAATAGCGACAACTTTAGAAGATATTCCGTATGGCTTAAGGAACGCAACTACATGATAAAAGGATTCACCAAATATGACGATAATTATTACATGGTTGCTGATGAACGCTTTTACTATTGTTATTCTCGATATGGCTTCTGCACTGCATGTGGAATACTCCGATGTAGTCCCGTGTGGTGCATTTGCGAGTATAAACAATTATCCGATAGATGGACTAGCAACAATAAGCAGCTCGATGAGTTTATCAAGAAATCTCAATTACAAACAAACTCTCCAAATGATGCCTATTTGGAATGGATTCCATACAGTTGTATTAATGATAGGGAATATGAAGTACGCTTATATGGTCTACCTACTCCCAATTATAAATGGGTTAAATTGATTCCACTTGAGATAACAGACGAGACACATGATTTATATTATGCCGAGGTAAAACATTTACTTATGCGTTATGTTTATTGAATAGTTTAAATATTATTGACTTATTATTATGTATCATTTCCACTAGTTATGTGATGAGCATCCAGATATTCTTACCACGGATGTTTGGGTTACCATCGGATTCACATAT